TATCAAGCTCCCACTGGCTCACCCAGTGCTCATCTCTCGTCCAGTGCAATTTTTAGGTCTTGGTAAACCCGATTTTTCAAAGCCAATATTCTAGTTATTTATATACACATTGAGTTGAAACCACACTATCCCAATGTATATTGACCCTCATGGAGCAAAAATTATGACGGAAAATGGTTACTGGAAGGGCCCTGGGCTGATTTTTAGGGCACCACCCAGAAAATAGGACTCATCTTGGGGCTTGTTTCTACAGTTTTAAATGCCCAAAGTATGAAATGCTGATTTAAATGTGCTAATGTCAAGCAGTATGTGTCAATATCACAAAGATTGTCTTATGCAGAATATTTCCAGTTTTGCTGCCCTGACGGTATCAGAGGAATTTACCCTAAACAGGGTAATTTTGCCATTCCTAATATGCATATGGATAAGTGATGCGATTGAAACTGTTTGAAAACGCATTGAGAAATATTACCTTTTCTGTCATTTAAAGCTTCTAAATAATGTTTGATAGACCTTTCGGGATTCGAAGCTAACATACAAGCCCTAGGTTGTAAAGAACTAGATATAAAAGAGCTAGAACTAGAATTGCCGGCAAGTAGAATGAAGCCTAGGCCTCGCCGGCCTCTTGCACGATTCAAACCTGATTACAGGTGCATTATTGGTATGCAGCTAGCTCTGAACGTCTATCCTTTATATAAGTTGCAGGTCAGCGGGGCTTTGATTCTGCCGACACTACCAGCTCTAATCATCACTCGCGCTGTTAGCGCACCCTGCTCTGAGGGTGGGGCGGGTTACTACTGCTCTGTATTGACCAAGAAGAAATCGGTTGCCAGCTGGGATTGCATTACATTGTAGAATGCGCCAAATTCTCCCCAATGTAGGGAATTGGGAGCTAGAGATTCCGCTGACACAAAGGCAGAAATCGAATTTCTATTGATGCGAAGATGGATCGATCTCAAGCCAGCGTCTCGGTCCTTCGCTCTACGTGCCACCAAAGTAAGTGTTCAGGTGCGACTTGCGACGTATACATTATTGATATAGTCTGGTGGCAGAGACCGATAAGCGTGCAATGCGGTCCATACAAAGTTTTTTTGTTGTTTCTATATCTCTGAGGTGTGCTCTTTCAGAATCTGAATGATGCCACTCTGTCATCCTTGGGCAATTCGCACAATATGCAAATTAAGGTGGCCATTACTGAAACTCCAGTTTTCGTCAATATCTCAGTAACTACTCATGGTATCAGAATAATTTTGGTGTCTATCCCCATCTTTTGAGGGATAACGAATTAAATCAAGCCATTTCAGTAAAGAT